TGATCCCTAACCCCACCCCTAATCCTACCCATCTCAACCCCCTGATCCCTAACCTCACCCCTAATCCTACCCATCTCCGCCCCCTGATCCCTAACCCCACCCCTAATCAAACCCATCTCCACCCCTTAGATCTGGATCCAACTCCGCCCCCTGGATCTCGTGTACTGCAATGAGGTGCTACTGAAAGTTCCGTGACATTTTTATTTGTGCATGACTTAATGTTTAGCTGACAAAGTGTTTGTCAGAATGTTTATTTTTAAACCACAACCTTCTAAACATCTTCAATGTGTGTTTCTTTTACCGATATATATTTACCGATATCTTTTGCATTTCTAATCCAAACAACGTCAAACTCAGCACTGCACTTACTCGTGCCCGTAGCAAGACACCCGTCAAGTTTGAAATCCAACGGAGGTTCGAGAGATATGCGAATAACAGCCAGACAGACGTTCCTGTAAATTATAGATAGATAATAAATGTTTCTTGAGCATCAAATGAGCATATCAGATGATTTCTGAAGGATCATGTGACACTGAACACTGGAGTAATGAAATATGTTACAATAGGAAACAGTTATTTTAAATTTTAATAATATTTCACAATATTAGTTTAAAATTTTGATCAATAAATGCAGCTTTGGTGAGCATACGATATTTATTTAAAAAACGTTAAAACCCGAACTTTTGAAAGGTAGTGTATACAAACTATGATACAAACTAGGGCTGGGCGATATGACCAAAATCTCATATCACGATAGAAGTAATCTCATATCCCGATAACGATATATATCACGATATACTGTAAAACATCAAAAAATAGCCCGGCCTTTTATTTTCCCAAATCGCCGAACTGCACCGGCTTGTATTTGAGGCAGGCGTCTATGAGACAGGCCTTTAATTTAGTGTAGGCCTAGAGATAACGAAGATTACGTTTTATTTATAAATGTGTTTAACAAATCCGTTAATCTAAGAATTAGCCTAGGCTACTTTATTATGTCTAAAGGGGGTCGCTCACCGGACGAGAAGCGCGCGCGCCGTGTCTATAGCAACTCGAGGTATCGCACACCGGACGCGCGCTGTCAGTTTATGGCAAATTGTTATGTTTAAGGACATTATGGAATTAAGATCATGTCTGTACTATGTTATGATAGTACTGTACAATTAAATACAATCGTTGCTTAGTCTGCAGTCTGAACACTTTACCTCAGAGCGTCCGTTAACTGAATGAATTGGGAATATCACCTGAAAATCCGATAACAGCATCAATTTGAATTCAACCAGCTGATTTCTGTAAATGAATGTACAACTAAATGTATGTTGCAGCACAGGGTGAAGTCAGTATATACATAACGATAATTGTACATTTAATATAACCATAGCTTTTAGATTATTGGCAGGATAAAAAAAAAACGAAACGATGTGACAGCCATGGGCTGAACAATACATTACTGGTAATATCCATCGAGCCTATGAACTTGTTGCCCGAAACACATCAACAAGAAAGAATGAAGGCTATACCCTGTAAAACGATCTCCTTCTCTCTCCGGCCTCCGCTAACTCTGCTTGCGCTAACAACTCCGCCCAGATGCGCACAATCTGCACCACAGAACTGGTTTAAACAGACGATCTGACGGGTTTTAGAAGATTAAATACAAACCGAAACTAAAAAACAGACCAGGCCTCTATTTGAGACTGGCGTTTATTTATCCAAACCACCCTAAAATGGTCAATACAACAAATAGAAAGTTAACCAAACCATCTAGCCCCTCGTTTAGGAACGAGCTCCTCGGTTTGTTCTGGCTGGTTCTTCTCCTGCTCGGAAACACCCGGTTCTGTCACCCCTTCATTCATGCTGTTATTCACGTTTCTGCCTGCATCCCCACGTGGCGTGAAAGATTGCAGTCATCCAAATTTTTGCCGTAAACAATGTTTTTTTGCGACACCACGATATAAACGATATGGCATAATATGAAACGATAGGCTTTTTATATCGTCCATCCGATATATATCGTCATATCGCACAGCCCTAATACAAACCCATTTATTCTGTGTGAAAAATATTATAAAAACAACATGCTGGCTTCTATGTTATTAAAACCAAAACCAATTAAAATATAATCTGGAAATTATTTGCTATAAAGTTAATATTTTTTTCTAGAATATTGTAATATAATATTTAGAAATAAATGAATAAGCATCCCCTTGTTGCCCGAGGACCCTAGTTTGAAAATCCCTGATCTAAATCACCTTTATTTTGGCTCTCGTTGAGTACGTAAGGCCGACTAATATCACACTTACATTTTGGCAAGTAAATCTGTTCAAGATCAAACATAAATCAATTTGTCCATTATATCAGAGAGATATTGTTCACAGGGGACTCTTAAATCATGATAACCTGATAAGTATTGAGTATTATAACAGCAGACTCTCTTAATAAAGATGCAATATGTTACCCGGAGGAAATGAACCACCGGATGCTTACACATGCCTTTTTTTAAGCTTGCATGTGCAAAAAAAAATTAAAATCATAATAACAGTAATGTTCCTCTGACTCATTTTATGCTTTTTGTATTTTTGAAAAGGACAGCGCTGATAAATATTGAACAAAACCAACAACCCATATTTATGATTCTGGTAAATATATCTGAAAACTAGCTTACTATGTTGTTCATATTCATTATAGTTTTGTTTACTTTACCATGCAAAGGTGTAAAATAAGAGAAATGGTTGTGTTGCGTTGTTGTCATGGTGTGTGTTTTCTTTGTCGATCTGCACCAGGGATCACAGTGGCTTAAACCATGCAGGACGCCACTGGGTTTGGGGGTCAATCCCATAGTTTTGAAATCCAATAAAACTGTGTAAAACTGAAGGCCTGGGTTGTTTCCATAGAGACAGAACTTTATTTTATGAGACATTGCAGTTGTTGAACGCATCATGGGATAAGCCAAATGAGTCATCAGAGGATACGGAGTACGGACCGCCTTGCTTTTTAGGGTGCAAAAAAAATACTTGGCCTTTTCTGCTGTTCTTCTCAAGGCTAAAAAACCTCGAAATGTTAAAAACGAATGAGCAATGCCTGTGCACATAGAATACAAATTAAATTATTCACCAAAAAAAAGACGTTTTTTCATCAACTGAAACAATCTAATTAAAACCAATTCTAATTCTAAAATAACAGGTTTTAATGTATAATGTGGAATTCAAGGTCAGAATTTACTCTTTTGCCCAATTTGTTCAATTTTTTAGATGTTCTTTGTTTTATTAGTGTCTGATTCATTAGATTTACCCTGTACTGTTTTGTATGCACAATTAAGTCACAAATCATGCAGACTTACTATAAATAGAGAGAGCACTGATCCTCTGAATAAATGCTGCATGCGATGAAACGAAGATGTTGATCTGTCACAGACTGAGTGACCAGAACATTCTCACCCACCCTCGGATTCATGCAGAGTTCAGTGAGGATAACACGAGCCCAATTAACACAGTGTCGAGCGCCACATACACAGCACGTGCTGCACGACTAACCAACTCATTGCTTTCAGCCTAGTTTGAAATGTGGCTGGGGTGCTTGTTAACTGATTCCAGATATGATTCCTGAACAAATGTGTGAGTGATGATGCTTTTCATTTTTCTTTTCAAGGGCACAAAATTGGAAAAACAGTATAACAATATTACAGTATCTATTGCAAAGTGTTTGCTGTCAGTTTATCTGGAATATCACCATGCATGTCCTGAAATGCACATTGATTATATTATATTATATTATATTATATTATATTATATTATATTATATTATATTATATTATATTATATTATATTAATTATATTATATTAATGATTTGATTCATTTATTTGTTTACATGCATTTTATTTTTATTTTACAAAATGACAAACTTCCTTGTTAAATTTCTTGTTGTTACAAATATGCAATTCACATACATTTTTTATTTTATTTTAATACTTCAAGATTTCATTTCAATTATGCTTAAATTCAAACTGGGAATTCCAGGAATTTTTCAAGTTGGAAACTTTACATGCATTAACAGGAATAAATGGGAATAAACTGGAAATTTGCAAAATTGCAGGTTAGCCTATAACAGAGAACTTAAATGTTGTTGAAAAAAATTCTACAGTTTATGTAAATTACCTAAATTTCCAATGAATCCCCATAAAATTCCCATTAATTTGCCAACTTGGAATATTTCAAAAATTCCCCAGCTTACTTCCCATGGAAACTTTCCGCCCCTTTGCAACCCTAATCAAGACCCCCTGTGGTGAAAATCAAGTTTTTTATGTGGTGTTTTTAATATGCTTAGACAAACGTGGTGCGAATTGAAAAAACAACACCATTGCTGAGTGGTTTCTCCTTAAAACTGAAATGAACTAAAGACCATCTCAAAAACAGGGTTTGAAACTGTCCCTCTCTCATACCATCACAAACGTAACCAATCCCATTAACGGACAGGGCGGTGCTTTTCCTATCAAATATTTCTAAGTATGCTGATTCTTATAAGGCAGCTGTCTAACTCTGATATGGCGAACGGGACATTAGCAACACATTATTAGCAGTCTGATAACATAGTCAAGCAAAAGGCTAATCATAAAATTGCCGTTATTTATCCGATGATGTAGAGAGAGAGATACATAAAACACATTACCATTCTGATACATCGTCCTCTTCATTTTCTGAATCAGTTTCTGGTTCAAAAATATATGGCTGAATTAAACCAGTATTTCCACCTGCCATTGTGCAGCGTTTACTACAGTAAAGTTGACCGAGTGGATCAGGTATTCTGAGCTGGTGTGAGTGAGTGGAGGTGGGGCTAATTTGCATATTCATATTCATTCAACAAAAACATGGCATTTAGAGAATTGTATCTAGTAGATAACAGCGATTGGTAGCATCTTTCCGAAATTGCTTCTTCAGATGGGCATAATGTAATTATGTGCTCGATGTGAGCCATATATCACTCATAGTTCATGTGTTGTTCCTCACAGCTGAAGAGGATGTGGTGTCCATGGCTGATTCCACCATCACTGTGGAGGACATCGAGGGGGAGTTGTTCAAAATCGAGCGGATAAAGGATGCGCTGGTCCGGAAAGAGTCTGAGCTCAGATATATGTGAGTGAGGTTTTTTACTATGGTAAAACCTGAGGTGGCTCCTTTATATAGGAGGTCAAAAGTACAATGGTATGTCAGCTTGCACTGCATCTTGTGATATCATATCCTTTACTGTGCTGCACTGCATCATTGCATTCATCCCTTCTGTTCAATACATTAGACAATGCAACACAGTGAAGACTACATATTATCTCATAATGCAGTGTAAGCTGACATAACCCATACCATATGCAATATTTTCATGATTATCCATTTTATTATTTTGTCAAATCAACTTAGATAATTTATGTGGTTCAGATAACATAATATTTTGAGTTTCTGTTGATTAAACCAATCTCCTTCATTGTATTAACTAATTTCTTTCATTTCAATGAACTTAAAATTAAGGCAACCAGCCCACTTGCTTTAAGTTAAACCAACATTGTTTTTACAGTGTGTGAATATCATCAAGTAATAATGGGGCAACTGACATGCTGTCAAGAATTACAAATGTCAGTGAGGTATTTTCTTATAGAACTAAAGGATAGGCTTGAACCTGGGAAATGAAAATAGCATGAATAACATTTCTGAAACAGTGGAACATTATTTCTGCCATTGAAATGTATTTCCACGGATGTATCATTAATATCAGACTGAGTGTCACAGTTCTGCAAGAGATAGGACCCAAATGCAAATGAGTAGACAAGGGTTTTTTTATTTACAGGACAGAAGACTAGAGAAAGCAGGGAGAGTGAAGCGTGAACCACACTTCAAACAGTAGGGCAGGGCAGACGACACGAAGACAGGCAGGATGAGTGACCACTGAGACCATCAGTAAGATGGGTTTGAAACTCGCGCCACCTTCTGGGTGTTGTCAGGAGCAGTAGAAGCAGTTGTAGTAGTGTCAGACAGTCAGAGAGTTAGAGCAATCTCATTGGCATTGTTGTTATTGTCATATATGTGTTAGGGCTGTATATTATTACATTATATCAGGATAGAATACTTATAGTATATTGTTATTAATAATTATAGTAGCATCAGAAGCATCAATATCCTCATTTATACCAACTGGCACTGGCATTTTTATGTTCCCCTGCATCCTCTGTTCCTTGTGAAAGGATCTTTTCCAAGGCTGGAGAGGTTTTGTCCAAAAAGAGGAATCGTCTAAACCCCAACACGCTTGCAACATTTTTTGTTTCTCAATAAAAATCTATTGTAATCCTAATTCCTTGTCCCACCCCAAACTGCAGTGTTGCAGTTTGCTCCTCCAGTCCCATAAGCACAACACTGCACTCAAACTTGTAACAGTCCACTGCACAAAAACCCCAGAACCCCTTGTAACCCCAGGGCTCCAAACGATGGCTCGTTTTGCCATCACTAAATCTGACACTAGGAATATGATAACAAACTAGGATAATTTCAAATCACAAACCAGAAACACCACAAAGTACATACACAAAACGAACCAGCAAGGACATGAGGGAAAGAGGCACAATATAAAGGCACCAGAGCACATGAGGATCAGGTGAGCACAATTAGTGAAACAAGGACAAGACGTGGACTAAACAAGGGGGCGTGGTAACAGGAAACAAGGAGGCGGGATATGAGGAGCACATGGCAAACACAAACCAAGACAGAGCCATGTGCTCAAACACAAGACAAACATAATAGAAACATGAAACCACAAAAACACAGACAAGGCTGCCAGAGCAGAACCCTGACACTGAGACCATGGAGCAAGAAGTACATTATGGCACATTTTACCCACAATGCACATTAATTTGACAAAACTAGCTATACAATGGAAGTGAAACAGCTCTGGTCACCATTCACATTCATTATATGGAGAGAGAAAAAAGCATCTTGGACATTCTGCAAAATGTTTGTTTTTGGGCGAGATATGCCTTTAAGCAAAATCAGAGAAAGTGTCACAATGACTGTTATACCACAATGTTTGTTTTTTTGTTCAATAACAGTTTGAACAAAAATAAATGTAGCAAAGATCCGTGCAGAGCAGGAGTGTGAGATACAGACATAGACGAAATAAAAGCAGAAGAACTTGTTGAGGACATTTATTGATAAAGGGATTCACTGCACTTATCTACAACAATAGCTTCTGATGGGAGTCTGTCGCAAGCCCTGCAAGTGAGATTTGTGTGTTATGGCAGTAATATATTTCTGCTGGAATTAGACAACAACTGCAAATGTATGTGTCTGTGTTGTTATTTGTGTGCGTATGTATGATAGCAATGTGAATACTACCTAGCAAAACATATTATCTGTTATTTCATTGCTGAACAGAGACTATACTTTGGCATCAACCAGTGAAATTTGTTTTGATAAAATATGGTATTCACACTCGACATGCAATACTGTGGATCTAAGAGCATGAAAGACAGGCTTTTGAAGTCATTTGTGCATTTATTTTCCATAGAAAGAAATTTTGACTGGTGGTTTAAAGAAAAATCTTGAAAGTTTTTCTTCGTTGTGTTCCTCATTCCTCAGGATGGATGACATCCAGTTGTGTAAGGAGATTACAAGGCTCAAAAAAGAACTCCAGAAATTGGTTTCCATCCCAGGTATGTTCTCAAAAAGATACTGTACCAAAATATTAAGCATTAATATATTGCTGGAAGATCTCATTCTCAGTGGTGCAAAATCAAATCCTAAAGGCCCTTTGTGACCCATGAGCATCAAATCATCATATTAGAATGATTTCTGAAGGATCATGTGACACTGAAGACTCGAGTAATGATGCTGAAAATACAGCATTGCACCACAGGAATAAATTACATTTGAAAGTATATTCAAATAGAAATCAGTTATTTTAAATTATAAAAATCTCACAATTTTTTCAGTTTTTACTGTATTTTTAATCAAATAAATGCAGCATTGGTGAGCATGAGAGCATTTCTTATCAATCTCAAACTTTTGAACAGTTAGTGTATAATAAATTGATTAAGCTAATCCGAGAAACCAAAAAAAATACAATAAAAAATAAATTGCCTCCCCTAGTATTATATAACTACTTTTTAATTTCTGCATGCTCTTCTGATTCTCTTTAATGGCCTCGTTTATAGTTCCTTTCATGTCAGCCTCTTTTCTCAGCACATGCTTGTGACATACTTCACTATAGGTCTCCTGTTTCCAAGGAGATGCACGAATGAAGCGTACACCACGTTTTGTTTACTGCTGAAACCTCATTTCGCAAGTGCATACAAAACTTGCACTCACAGAAGAGGTTATTTATCCAAACTGGCAGATAATATTATCTTATACTATTCCATCAAAGCGGGAAACAAATCACATTCCAGTACTAGTGATGTCCATTTATTCTGAGACCTTCAGGTTCTTTCTGGTTCATCTGTGGAGTCAGGATTTTGATATACTTTGATATTAACTCCTATCTGTCATCATTTATTCATGTTCAATCCAAACCAGAATGATTTCCTTTCTTCAGTGTAACAACAACAACTGATATTTTGAAGAATGTTCTTGTCTTCCATATAGCAAAATAGCAGACATTGATACTGAAAATATTCACAAAGGACAAAAAAGCACAAAAAACATTTATCGATAATCTCTGAAATTTGTCTGTTGTTTTTTTAAGAAGTCTCACAGAGGCTGCATATATTTAATTAAAATACAGTAAAAACAGCAATATTTTGAAATATTATTACAATTTGTTTTCTATTTGAATATATTTTAAAAGTAATTTATTCCTGTGATCAAAGCTGAGTTTTCAGCATCATTACTCATTAGATCATTAGATCATTAGATATTAGATATTTTCTTTTACAGAAATCGCTTTTTAAGGACACAACAAACGGCTGGTAGTGACTACAAGCTTCTTCATGAGTTAGTGACATCACTAACCTTAAAATTCGTTGTTTTCTGCTGATCTCCCGCGCCCCCTGAGAACCACTGCATTACTACGTTGTTACTTTTTCTTGAGTCTCTCCATCTTTTGTCCGGTTTGAACATAAAAGGCTAAAAGTTTTTGAAATTTTCAGTGCATGTCTGTGTGAGGTAATCGGAGCTGCTAACACATCAGCTCTTGTATCTCTGCCCTCTGTGTCCCAGGAGCTGCAGCTCATTTGCATTTAATTTTAACATGCTATAAAAATATCTGTGGGGTATTTTGAGTTAAAACGTCACATACACACTCTGGGGACATCAGAGACTTATTTTACATTGTGAAAAGGGCATTATAGGACCCCTTTCAAATTCCAATCTTTATATATTCAAATATGTATATTCTAAGTATGTCAGACCAGGTTTGAAGTCAACAGCAGTCAGGACATCCTGGAGTATCATACAGGTTTGGAATGACATTTTGATTTTCCACACGTGTCTCCTTTCTGCAGACAAAGAAAAGTCTAATGAGGACAGACAGCGTGAGGAGGAACTATTTCAACAGATCCAGAAGCTGGTGGAGACGCGGGACTTTCTAGTTGATGACATGGAGTTTGAGAGGCTCAGGTCAGTTTTAAAGAGCCGCCAGCCTCCAGGGACAGGAACGTGGGCCACAACCCTTTAGATTGCCGGCTAGCATGCGTGACTACCTGCCCCAAGAATGTGTTTTGTCCCTCTTGTGGCTGTTCCCTCATCTGTGAAGACACTGCAATCCAATTACCCTCCTCTTGAAGCCAATAATCCACCCTTACCTCACCACGGCCGTCACACACACACACACACACACACACCTCACATCACGCTCACAGATGGTCCCAGCGGCTCTGATTCTGAAAACGAGAGATTGATTTGCAGGCAAGAAAGAAATGGAAAAAAGAAAAGAGATGTGTTTTTTCGATGGGTTGGGCTGATTGTCATCTGCCAAGATCTCACGAGTGTGTGTGTGTGTGTGTGAGAGAGATCGTGAGTGACGCACGCGTCAGAACCCAACACGAATGAAGTCCTCACAGTTTATTCATGGGATAAATAAGCCACTGTCACCCACATGACAAGCAGCTATTACACGGGTGGATGGTGGAGCGAGAGAGAGAGAGACCGCGAAAAACTGCCAAACACTCTCAGTTTGCACACTAAACCCATGTGCTAAGAGAATAATTGATTGCTTGGAGTTTGGGTGTGAATGTTCAGTGTCTCACTTCACAGTTGTTTGTGTGTGGGTCTAGTTTGACATGGCAGGGACTGGAAAAATAGTAAATATTGCTGCATTTTGGGGAACAAGCAACAACTGAACAAGAAAAATGACTTAATAAACATACTAAATAATATCTTAATGAAAATATAAAAATGCATAAAGCTTAGTGTAATGGTTAGGTTTCAAATTATGGGATATATATATATACTGTATATATATATATATATATGTGTGTGTGTGTGTGTGTGTGATCTAGATGTGATTAGCAGTATGTTTTGCTGTACTTGTATTGGCACATCCATTTTAATGTAGTGGATGTGCCAATACACTAACTGTATATAGGATCATTTGCAATGATTTTGTATCCATAGCTTCAAGAATGAGTGTTAATTTAAATCTTTTAGATCAGCAATATAATAAAATAAGAAGAAATTAAGTAATAAGATTCTGTTTTATTCTCAAATCTTGTATTATAATGGGTTTTTTAATAATATTGTAATGGAACAGAGTTGACACCTTATTCCTGAATGTGGAAGTCTCGCCCGACTCATGGCGGTACTATCCTTTACATTTCTAGTTTTTCTATTCAAATTAGCATAATTTCGAGCTTATAATATAACGAATTAGTGAGAAGATGACATGAAGCTGCCTGGTGTTAGACATTGAGAACACATGGGTGCTCATATCCTACATACAGATCCTGAACGGGGGAAGTTCGGGGCAGTTTGTCCTCAAAATGATAACAGCGCACATGTAGACTACCTTTTATGAGGACTATTTTAACAGAGTATTTAAATTGTCGTTTTCTCTTGTATACCATTCAAATGTTTGTGGTCAGTAAGATATTTTTTATTTGAAATTTTTTTATACTTTTATTCAGCAAGGATGCATTACATTTACCAAAAAAGGCAGTAAAGTCATTTATAATGTTATAAAATATATATATATATATATATTTTTTAATTGTTCTTTTGAGGCTCTTTGAGTCTTAAGTTTTATGCATCAATGAAAGAAAAATGTATTGTGGTTTCCACAAAAATAATAAGGAGCAAAAACTAAAACTATAACTAAACTATATTTAGCCCTATAATGAATGAGCAGCAAATCGTCATATCAGAATAATTTCTGACGGATCATGTGACACTGAAGACTGAAGTAAAGATGCTGAAAATACAGCTTTGACGTCACAGGAATAAATAACATTTAAAATATATTAAAACAGAAAATAGTTATTGTAATAAAATTTCACAATATCACTGTTTTACTGTTTTTTTTAATCAAATAAATATAGTGAGCTTTAGAAACTTTTTTCCAAAAACATAAAAAAATCTTACCGATCTCAAACTTCTGAACAGTTGTGTACACTTGACATTGAATCCTGACTTATGTATGTATTTGTGCTTTTGCCTCCCTGATACGTGCTATTCTTCACGCAGAGAGCGAGAGGAAGACAATGAGATGGCTGACTTCCTACAGACAAAATTCCCCAACAGATTCCGCATGAAAAGTATGTATAAGTGTGTGTGTGTGTGTGTGTGTGTGAGCTCAAGGCCAGTCTCTTAAACCTACGGTACACGAATTAACATAATAATACATTCTTTGAGCATCTCCATAATTGTTTTACTCAGTGCCTGTTCAAGTTGAATAAAAATGGAAACTAGAGACCTTATTAAGGAACCTGTGTGAATGTTAATTCTGTTCTCCGGGTGTTAATAAGCTGTCTTCATTTGTTTTCTTTTAGTTCACAACTAATGAGCTAATTCAGAACTGGAATAAATAGTGCAAAAGTATATGAATGTCAATAGAATTGGGAATGTTTGACTAAATAGTCAATTTACTAATTATGGTGAGAATTTGAAACTTCTCACAAAAATCTTTCATAATCTTTAGTGCTGCTGTATAACCTAGTGCTGTTTATTATTTACCCAAATAAACATATTATAGATTTATGTATGCAGGTAAAATAGGACTTTTCATATATCGTTGGGCGATGATATTGCTTAAATTTTTCAATAAAATATCAAGCTGTTATCAATCACTCTTAAAAATAAAGGTTCTTCATTGCTCCATATATTAAGCAACTAGTTGTGTTACTTAGTTACTTTTTATGGAAAATAATGCATTCCGTTATCTTTCAGCAATAATGCTGAAACACAAATGTGCTTTTTATCTTAAGTCATTTTTGCTTATTAGTATGGTTTAATTGGATCATCGAAGGTCAACAGCAAAGACATTGGTTTATAAAATACATAAAGTATATTTGTGTAATTTAACTCTGCACTTACTCACGATTTCTCTCAACATTGGGACAGTCAATAAATGGCGAAACAAAGTAACTTGCGTTACTTATTTGAAAAAGTAACTCGTATTTTTGTTTCTCAACTGCTTGATTGAACTTCACTGATTCGGTTCAGTTCAAATCAGACTGAGCTGAACCGTTCCTCTTAACTGTGTTCCTATAATCAGTTCAGTTCAACTCAAATTAACTGAACTCAAATCATCTTAAAGGTGCAGTGAGTGATTTCTGAAAAATGCTGTTGATATTTGAAATCACCAAAAACAAACACAAAAGGATGTGGTCCCAAAAGGATCACACCCCTATCTTGATAGCCCTGCCCCCAAACTCACAACACAAGCACCTCCCCCCTAATGAGCGTATACACACCTTACTGCTGATTGGCTACAAGTGTGTTGTGCTGCTCAGTCCGATCCACTTTCAACAGCGTTTCTCAGAAATCACTTACTGCACCTTTAACTGTGCTCCTCGAATCAGTCCAGTTCAATTCAACTCTGTTCTACTGACTTCTTAAATTCAATTCAGTCACTTCAGTTTTACTAAAGTGAACTTGACTCAACTCAACTCTGTTCCTTCAGTTGTATTTGTGTAGCACTTTTCACTATACACAGATGATTGGAACACAGCTAATTATTTTTTTTAACTAATATCTAAAAAAAAAACACTAGATGATGGATTTCAGCACAATACAATATATTTGCAAATGTTCAGCATCGCTCAGCAAACACCTCAGCGCTCGTGCTCGATGGTATTCAGAGATGCTGAGAATGATTCAGAGAAGGTCACTGCATTTCTCTCGCTCTCTTGTGTTTTTCAGGTCAAACCAAGGACAAGAGAATGACGTCCAGAGCCCAGCAGACCTCGTCTCCTTATGTGACAAAGACAGGCGTCACCCTGCTGAAGGGGTGCTGCGGCTTCACCTGCTCCGTCATGTAGATACGCCGGTGTAAAACAGGAGAGAGTGACAAGTAAACAAGCCCTCAGACCCGTGATTCAGCACAATATTTTCAAACACTCTTTCACATTCATTTCCTAACAGACGGCAGTACATGGGTGCCCAACTGATGTGCATATTATGCAGAATTATTGCATTAACCTAATGGAGAAGATGAGGAGTGTGATTAGATGGTACGGCTCCTTATTTCCACAATTAACACCGAGCTGTCTAAAAGCACAAGACTAACGTCAGACTCAAGTGCTGGATTCCCATGAGCAGTTGTTAAATATTGTAACTCTTTCTCTTGCTAGCACATTATTTTCTCCCTTCTTGCAAAAGAGCAAATTATCTGTTGTTGGGTTGCTCCACCTGCCAACCACAATGCGTGTCACCAAAAACACTGACAATTTCCTTGGGTGTTACGCACCCTTAGACAAAAGGTCTTTAAAGGGGCAACATTGAGGTCGTGACCAGAAGATGGTGTATTTAAGGTGGCAAGAGACGACACAACAAAGTATTATGAAAGAAAATAAAGTACGGTTTATTGTACTTGAAGTGTAAATGCAAAAGATGGACAATAATAATAATGATGATAAATATATTTGTGGACACTAAGAAAATAAACAAAATATAAACAGATTGAGAGTTCAAAAAAATAAACAACCCAAGAGAATAAGGACATAAATAGTGACGCCAAATAAAAGAAAGAAACAAAACAAACTCCGACTATCTAGTCCCAACCTCTTACTAACTAATAACAAAAAGAAAAGAAAAGACAGTAATCTTCAGCGCCTAAGCGCCCTCTCTAGCTGTTCTAACTAATAACAAAACATCCATGGGTGGCGTTCACTTCCCTACCTGGGGTTTGTATACATCGAGTTTGCTAAGTGTTGCTTTGTGTACGTCACGTGACATATTACCTGTCCGAATTTCTCTTGGTAACCTCAAAACACGCCATCATGGCAGAACACATTACTCTTAGCAATCTCAGAACACGCCGTCATGGCAAAACACATTACACTTGGTAATCTCAAAACACGCCGTCATGGCAGAACACATTACACTTGGTAATCTCAAAACACGCCGTCATGGCAGAAAGAAAAAACAACAGGACAATATCTGTAACGGAAAATAAACACAAAGGCGGCAAGCAAAGCGACAGAAAAGAAAGCAAGCCGACATGCGTTCCTCTCCCGCTTCCCTTTAAACTCGAGTGTTGAACTTGATAGGCGGCGGGAAGGAGATGACGTCACGATGTAATGATGATTGACATCTCTCCCAGCCAACAGCAGATGAGTGAGGACGCACACCTAAGAAGGTGATAGCAGAGAAAGAGAAACCAAAAGAAAACACATACGCGGAACCACAGGGACGTAACATTGGGTTTTTAAGGAATAGTTCACCCAAAAATGTTGTCAGTGTTTGATGAGAAGGACGGGGATAAGCAGATTTTGGACAGGGTAAATCAATTGATAAATTGATAAACAAAACATTTTAGGTACTTAAAATAAAATAAAAGTTCAATTTAAATAAACTATAAAAAACCTAAACGTAGCTAATATTATTTATTTAAAGCAAGGAGACATTTCTCATTTTCATTAAACACATTTCACACAACTTAGTTACTAAAACTTTAACTAAGATTAAATGAAAAATATTAACTCTGTCCTCGCCATTTACCAGATTTTCGTCAATTATAATTCAAATCACATACTCTCTTGAGTAGGTCCTTACTTTGAATAAGTTATTCACGACTTCTAGATAGAAATATACTTTTCGATTATATATAGAAAAGTACGTTCTATATTAGTAGGCTATGCATGTGTGTAGTATGAATGTAATCCGGACGTACTACATTCGTCCATGCTGTCATTATCACGTGACCTACCAGCGTCAGTTGCGTCGCATCACTGTCATTCACTAATCGTCTCCCGTGGCCTCATGGGATATGTCCATTGTCCAATCCATCATGTGCACACTTTAGATTCTCACTGGAAGTAGTAGGTCATCCGGATACTTTTATGAGTAGGCTACTGTGAATTCAGACATACTTCCTCTGTCACATACTGTTTTTCGCCTACTATGTATTGGGAAAGTATGCGATTTCGGATGCAGCCAACTAGTTTTTCCAGCAATCCCAGGTTTCACTGGTAAACGGTAGGGGGCGCTGTTATGCATCGTCTGAAGTAGTACAGCAAGTGACTGGAGATACAGTAATAAACCTTCCCAAATGTTTCATTAATTTAGATCTACTGAAGACTGAGTAGCAAAATTATGCCATACAATTGAACAAAAGAGTCAGCCAGAAGATCTGCGTACTAGGTGAATATGCACCATGTATACTTTCACATTTTACATCTGCATTTTTAACTACAATGTTGATGAAAGCTGTATTGATTTGTGGTGCCCAGCTTGACACAATATAAGTGCACTTTGAAAGTTAAAGTAGATATATTTATATTTCACCCAGTTTTAGTTTGTTTATCTTTCCCCACTGTAAAGTGCTTTAGCATATTATTTATGTATAAATCATGTACACTGCTGTTTAAAAGTTTGGGGTCAGTAAGATGTTTTCAGGAATTAATACTTTTATACAACAAGATGCACTGAATTGGTCTAAAGTGACAGTATAAACTTTTATAATATTACAAATTTTATATTTCACATAAATGCTGCATGGTCTTTTGAACTTTCCATTTATTAAAGATTCCTCAATAAAAATATATCACAGTTTCCCAAAAAATATGAAGCAGCACAACGGTTTTCAACACTGATAATAATCAGAAATGTTTCTTGAGCATCAAATCAATCATATTAGAATGATTTCTGAAGGATCACGTGACACTGAAGACTGGACTGAAAATTCAGCTTTGATCACAGGAATAAATTACATATTCAAATATATTCAAATAGAAAACAGTTATTTCAAATTGTTATATTATTTTACTGCTTTCACTGTATTTTTGATCAGATTAATGCAGTCTTGTTGAAGAGACTATTTTATAAAACATTTTAAAAAAAATGACCGACCCTAAACTTTTAAATGGTGTATTTGTGATGCATCGTTTTAACTAAATAGTGTTTATGCAAAAAAATTATGAAAATATTTTATCTTTACAAAAGAAATCAAATTGTGAAACTGAGAAATGTGTAATAATATAATGCTCACAGACACATGTGTTATGCTGCTTAGTTGTGCAGGATTTTATGTGTGCTTATGCTTCTATTGTTATTTTCATGCCTCTAAATGATATTTTTCCACTAATGAATAAAAAGGAATTCTGATGAATGAACCAATGCTTCATTGCCTTTTAGATTACACAGACTCGTAAAATCATCTTTTATTGCTATACAAATAACAAAATTATGAAACCCAAGGTTGCAAACTTAATATAAAATGAATAAAACAATTAAACATCGTGTAGAATAGTCTGCACTTTTAAGTTTGAATATGAAATTGAGCATTTGTTGAAAAAAATGTTCTGATTTTATGTTGATTTCACATTAGTGAAGTCTCCATAGCCCAGGAAAAGTGCCAACAAATCTTATCTTGTGCACCATCTTTAATAAGCCAAGGTCACTGAGTGTGTGGCTTCATTGACAGGTTCCAGTTGGCAGGAAGGGACCGAGGAATTAAGTGGCTGATGAAATCAAATCTGCTGGTATTTTGAATGTCCAGACTCTCGCTCTGGACGGTATAATCAGGATTTAGTTTAGATGGTGACTCTTCTTCTTCATCAAGCTCTGGCAGAGGATGCAGCGTCCGTGACATTTGTGTTGATTGGCTGAAGACTGTCCACAGCTGTAGGGAAATTCAGCTCATTTCCTGTGTGTGTGTGTGAGAGATATCTCTTAATTGGCCTTGACAGTATGTCATATTAAGTTGATTATTGGCATTCAGCTGAAAATGTGAAGATTAAACCATCATTCCAAATGCATTATCCACTCTATGAAATATACATTTTTCTTACAAGAGTACTTTCTTTTGCTTTGTGTTGGACTGGGAAGCTTGTGCGCTGCTGAGTCTGACAAGACAGTTTTTCAGTGTGTTTTATGTCCATTGTCTGCACTGCATGTTATTGACTGTGGATTCATGGAGGATTTTCTTTTCTTTTGAGCTCCTAAAACTGTCTGTTTGAAGATATACACTACTAATTAAAAGTTTGGGGTCGGAACATTTTTTTTAAATCATTAAAAAAAAAAAAAAGTATCTTATACTCACCAAGGCTGCATTAAATCAAAATAACAGTAATGCAGAATAAATCTTGTGAAGTATTATTGCAATTTAAAATAACTTTTTGAATACATTTTAAAATGTAATTTATTCCTGTGATCAAAGCTGAATTTTTAGCATCATAACTCCAGTCTTCGGTGTCACATGATCCTTCAGAAATCATGATGATTTGATGCTCAAGAAAACATTTCTGATTATTATCAATGTTGAAAACAGTTGTGCTGCTTCATATTTTTCTGGAAACTGATACATTTTTCATGACAGAATAGATAGTTTAAATGAACACCTTCGAAATTTTAAATGTCTTTACTGTCACTTTACTAATTGAATGCATCCTTAATGAATAAAAGTATTCATTTCTTTCCTCCAAAAGTATTCATTTTCCTCTGTTGATCTGCATCTCGCACAGAGGAATGAGCTATGATGAGTCATAACTGACTCATTCGTGACCAATTTAATTACTGGAAGAGTTCTGACTCCAAGAACTGCGAAAAGCTTTGAGATTTTACCAGGTTTACGTGCCAAAAAAAAACTATTGCAGTTCAGCTGTCATTTTCTTGCACACTAATTATCTGAAATTACATGCAACGCAATGTATTCAAGGAAAACTAAGACCATGAAATGAACAAATGACAATGTAATGAAGAATCCGTAATTTTGATATAGTATCTCAGTGATGTGTTATGTGAATTTCTGACCTTTACAAGCGCAGTATTTTAAATGCCAGTACCAGGTGTTGGTTTGCATGCTTTGCCTTAAATGTTCAGTAGACAATTACACAGAGACATACGCCACCATGTGGTTGAGCATGAAAGTTAACCAGTTCACAGGAGGTTTCA